ATCTCCTACATCCCTTCCAAGTGGATGGCAGTGGTAGCTGGGCACCATCTAGTTCTTCTGGTCTCATAGTTGTATAGGTTGCAGATCGGAGACCGAAATTTTTGAGCGGAAATTCAGAAGTGATCCAGAAGAGACAAAGATAGAGCGTACCAGTTAGCAACCATTTCCCAAATCCTGAAGAAGATGATCCAAGCTCAGGTGACTTGTGGTTTGTTCTATTCCTCAGTGGATTTGTAGTTGTTGTTTTTAGTTGCCATCCAACCAAAACCTAAACTCACTGCCATTGAGTCAATTCTGACTCATAATGACCCATGAGGACAGAAGACTGTGAGGAGGGCACAGGATGGTCAGTGTGTTGTACACAGGGCCACTGTGACTTGGCGCCCACTTGACAGCACCTGACAACAGCAGCAGGACAGAGTCTAACTATCCCATAGCGTTTCCAAGGCTGTCAGTCTTTATGGAAGCAGACTGCCTCATCTTTCTCCCATGCAGTGTCCGGTGGGTTCAAAACACTGACCTTTCGGTTAGCAGGCAAATGCTTAGCCACTGCGCCACCAGAACTCTGTAGTTACCGTCAGGTCAGCTTTGCTTCATGTATAACAGAACAATGGGTTTGTAGAGCTCTGCAGAAACCAGCATAATGAAGCAGCAAAGTATAAATTGTGTTTAGCAGGTTCAGGAGAAAAATACACTGAAGATTCTAACTTCTAAATCAGGGCAAGGTGGGATCGGGGTATGTTATTCTTGATATTCATTGTTGATTCTGCTACTACGTCTACAGGTACATGGTGACTATTAGAAGCTGTATTGTTCATTTACATGTAACTACCATATAGTTGGGAGCTCTGGTAGCATAGTGGCTAAGACACTTGCCTGCTAACCAGATGGCTGGCGGTTCAAACCCACCATCCGCTCCTCGGAAGGAAGGTTGGGCAATCTACTTCTGTAGTGATACTGCCTCGGAAACCCAAGGAGGGGTCGCTGTGAGTCAGGTTTGACTCGACGGCACATGACAACAACAACAACCATGTAGTTACTTGTAACTAGCATATAGAAGGAGCTCTGATGGCACAGTACCTAAGGTACTTTACTGTTAGCTAGGATGTCGGCAGTTCAAACCCACCAGCCGCTCCACAGAAGGAAGATGTGGCAATCTACTTCTGTAAAGATTTACCACCTCAGAAAACCAATGGGGGTTGTTGCCATGAGTTGGAATTGATTTGATGGCACTAGGGTATTTTTAGCATATAGTTTAGCAAGATGTTCTACTTTAGCAAAAAAGTATAATGAATACATGGTACAGAAACTTTGAATTTTTAACTTTTTGAATGAGTGGATGACTACATAATCACAGAATGTTTGAGTATGATTTTGATAGTATTACAATAGGTTCAGGAAAAGAAAAAAAAAAAAACACCTTGATTTCCTGCATGGGGAAAAGAGCAGAGTAACTTCTATACATTGCTTCTGTACCATCAAAAGAACATCACTTCACTAAACAGGACACTGTTACCACAGGAATCGCTGACGCTGGAGGACGTGGCTGTGGAGTTCAGCTGGCAGGAGTGGCAGCTCCTGGACCCTGCTCAGAAGGACCTGTACCGGGACGTGATGTTGGAGAACTATGGGAACCTGGTGGCCGTGGGTGAGGACAGCTGTCCTTTCAGTGGTCTTCCCTTTCTCAACTGCTTAACTTTTGAATGTACTTGCCTATTGAATAACTTCTTTTTGAAGGATCAGCAGATGTCCCAAATGTCCAACTTTTCCAAACTGCTGTACATTCATCATTTCTCACATCAACTCCTCCTCATCCCCTCAGTACTTTCCCTCCCATCTTCAGGTTTTGTATTCGCTGTACCAACACTGAATTCACAGATTGCCAAGGGAATGGCTCACGTCGTTGTGGAAGCTTCCTAGTCCCTAATCTGTGGGTCAGGCATTGGTGTTCTGGTTACATAATGCTGCTCTGACATGAAACATACCACAAATGGGGTGGCCTTAACCAACAGGAGTTTATTCTCTTACAGTTGGGGAGGCTAGAAATCTGGGTTCAAAGTGCCAGACTCTAGGGGTTGTGTGAAAGCCCCTCGACCTTGGGCTTCAACTCTGCCTCTTACTCCCAGCCTTGAAGCTAGAGGCATTTCTTCACTCAGGCAGCTACTGGCTGCTGAGACTACCAAGTCCAAGGTCACCCAAATAAAATGGCACAGTCCTGATGTTACCAAACCGCATGGCAGGCCATTAATTCAACTCCATTGTAAGTCCCAAGGTCGGCAGGGCATGGTAGGCTGCTGAGCAACGACACAGCTACATGCAGGGTCCAAGCGTGCCATAAACTATAGACCATGGCCAAAGTGGCTGCTTATTTATGGGAAGCAAACCACATACCCAAAGCAGCTAGCTACTCAGCTGCTCTAATATTCCACCATGAATTTCATCACTAATCTCACCATGGGGAATAACTACGTTCAGCTGCCCAGCCATTCAACCAGGCCCAGCCAAGTTGACACACAAACATATCCACCACAGTGGTTTGGAGGATTCATCTCACACATGTGGTTGCAGAGGCTGACGAACCCAAACGTCATCTCACACATGTTGTTGCAGAGGCTGACGAACCCTGTTGTTAAGTGATAGATTTTCACATCATTTTTTGCCCCAGGTAAGATACTCTCTTCTGAGAAAAGCTATGACTTTGGAGCTGTGAAAACTGTGTAGCTCCTAAATGTAACACATTTCCTTCTTAAACCACTACCCAGTTCAGTATGGGTGAGTCTTCTCTCATTTCCCATGAACAGGGTATCAAGCTGGCAAATCAGATGCCCTCTCCAAGTTGGAGCGAGGAGAAGAACTGTGGACAGGAGAAGATGAAATCCACTCTCAATTCTGTCCAGGTGAGGAAATGAGAACCAATAAGGTGGGTCAGTGGAAAAATCATTGAGATATTCTAGCAGGCCACCTGCCCTAGCATGCTCAGCTCTCTTGCTCTGTGGCCCAGGAGGTCCCCTGCGACCTCTCCTGCCAGTCTCCTGGTTCTGCTGCCACCATTCCCTGCTGCTGCTCCTCACCATCTCTCGTGGTCTCTGGTATTACTCTGTCTTCTGGATCTAGGAGGTTCCCAGCGCAGGGACCCTGAGTCCAGTGTTAGGTTTTGATGCAGGAGGTCGTTTGCCTATTTCAAAAGAACCAATCCTAAGTGTTGCAGAGGAACTAAACGCAAGGGAGGGCAGGGACAAGATAAGCCCAGGGTCGGAGACAAAGGATCCATCCAAGTGGAAACTGGGAGTGGGGGTGGGAGCTGCTTCATAGTGGGGAAAAAGTGAACAAAGAATTCCACTGGAAACTGGGAGTTTGGGGAGTGTGGGAAAATGAACAAAGACCTTCACCAGATACGGGGGGTTTGGGGGTGGGGGCATCTGAAGAGTGGGAAAGAACACAAAGAGTCTAAGCAGAAATTAGGGGGTGGAGACTAGGAAAGTACTAGGAGAGAGAGACAGAAACTTAGTAGATTCTGGCAGGTCGGGTAGAGAGTGAAGGATTTATCCATCACAAAGGATGGCCTCCACTCCTGCCTCTGTATTAGTGGTTGTGAGAGTCCCCTTTCCACCCCTGAGGTGGCTCATTTTAAGCCTAAGGGGATGGCAAACTGACCAACCAATCCCCATTTCATAGTTCCATACCCCTTATTTGCATGGTGCCACCTCCACAAGGGTGCCATGCTCCTATTTGCATTATTAGAAAGTTATCCAATCCTCTTGGTGGGCCACAGACACCTTATTTACATCACCCAAGAGTCATTTGGTGGGAATTGGAAAGACTGTGGCTAGATGGGCCACCTTAAGGAATTCACTGCACTGTAGTCTTAAATGCTGGTTATCCAGGTATTACCTTGAGTGTTTTTCCATGCTGAAGTTCCTTCAGAAATGTCTCTGTTGTTTGTATTTATTGTTTAACTGGAAAAGACCTTTTTAACATCTTTCTTCATTTCCACCACAAACCAGGTCATAACTTCTGTCTTCATCAAATTTGTTTCTTCGTAACTTTTGCTAATTCTAATGATTTTGTCTAAGACCTCACCACTGCATTAATGCCCAAAGCTTTGTTGTAAAGCATGTGTCAAGTATGATTCACTGAGTTCTAGGGTGTTTACAAAGCTGGGGAAGCATCACCACAGTCACTTTGGGGATGTTTTCAAGTCCCCAAAATGAAACCCTGTCACCATCCTAAGTCACTATCCACTTCTCCCTGCTCTCACCTCTGCACCTCACCTCTGCACACCTCCACGTCATTAGGCAGTCACTACACTGCTTTCTACTCTATCATTTTTCTATAAATTTCTTAAAGTAACACGAAGTGGAATATTTTGAAATTGACATTTTTCACCAAGGATAATGTTTTTGAAATCCATCGATGTTTTATAATGTATTAATGCATAAGTCTTTTTAATTGCTGAATAATATTCCATTATTCTATTGTGTGGATAGACTACATTTAATTTATCTGTTTATCAATTGATGGGCATTTACATTTGTCTTAAATTTTATAAATTAATATCATTCTTAATGTAATGCCTACAGCACTTGACTGCTAACCAGAAGGCTGGTGGTTCAAGCCCAGCAGCATCTCCTTGGAAGGAAGGTTGGGCAATCTACTTCTTTAGTGATACTGTCTTGGAAACCCAAGAAGGGGTCGCTATGAGTCGGGTCGGACTCAACAGCACATAACATCAAGAACTATAACATTCATGTAAAATTTTTTTATAGATTTATGTTCTCGTTTCTTTTAGGTATATAATTACGTAAAGAATTAGAATTGCTGGATTGTATATTAACTCTATGTTTAACTTTTTAAAAATATCCAGAATGTTCTCCAATCCAGCCGTACTGTTAAACATTTCTACCAGCAGCATGTGAAGGGTGCTCATTTCTCCAGTTGCTCGCTAGTACTTGACAACAGTCTGCTGTATGGTAGTCACCTTAGTGGATGTGAAGTAGTATCTCACTGTGGTTCAATCTTGTTTCTCTGATGATTAATGAAGTGAAGCATTATCAATGTGATTACAGATCCATCCTTCTCAAAATTTCCATTCTTCTTTGTGCCTAAGATAGAAACTTGACTCTAATAATGCTATGTCATTTCTTAATCATGGTGACTAATGCATTTGTAAGGAGCTCTGGTGGCGTAGTGCCTAAGGCACTTGACTGCTAACCAGAAGGCTGGCGGTTCAAACCCACCAGCCACTCCTCAGAAGGAAGATGGGGCAATCTACTTCCATAGAGATACTGCCTCGGCAACCCAAGGAGGGGTCGCTATGAGTCATGTCCAACTCGACGGCACATAACAACAACAAATGCATTTGTAAGGAGCCTGGGTACTGAAATGTTTGAACATTTGGCTGGAAACTGAAATTGGCACTTGAAACACACTCACTGGCTTTGCAGGAAAAAGACCTGATGATCTCCTTCCATAAAGATTATACTTAAGAAAACCCTATGATAAAGTTTTCCTCTCTCACAAGGGGTTGCTATGAGTTGGAATTGACTCAATGGAATCCAGCAACAAAAGCATCTTTGCCAACCAGGATTGAAGAGAATCTTTTTTATTCTTCCTCATGTATGATTTCAGCTGATTAGCCATGCAAGGGAGTGATCTTACCCCTCAGTCTATTTTTCAGGCATTTCATAATGCAAGTTTTGGGTTCTCTGTGTATTTATAAAATTGTGCTTGTAGTAGTAGTAACACCATGACCCGTCTAACTGCATAGCAGATGAGCAGCCCAAAACTGATCCCTGTGTGGTGGAGGTCAGACATAACTGCACTCTCCAGCCTTGTTACCAGTTCTGACACCAGCTGTCCTTCCCATGGCATTCTTTACTTCTCTTATGGGTTTGATTATCCATTGCAGTGGCCACACAGAACTCACAGAGCAAAGTTACAGTTAAATGGTTGCTGTGTAGAGAATTATTTAATATCGTGTTTCTAGCTGTAGTCTTTGCAATTTCCTTCAAATGACTGGGTAGGACTGTGCAAATGAGGTGGTTGTGGCCCACCAAGGAGATCAGATAGCTTGCTGATAATGTAAATAAGGTACATGGCCCTGCTCTGAGGGTTGGACCATGCAAATAAGGTGCCTGGAACCCTATTGAGGGGATTTGTCAGTTGCCGTCCCTCTAGGCTTAAAAGGAGCCATCCTAGAGGCAGTAAATGGGAGCTCACAATCACAAGAAGTAGGACGGAGTGCCTCCTATGGACCTTGGATGCCTGTGCCGAAAACCTGCTTGACCAAAGAGAGCTGAACAATGGAGATGGCAAGAGTCGACAGCAAACTCACAGGGGACATCTCAGTGGACTTCTGGGCACACAGAACAAGAGAGCTGTTCACCTTCAGGCAGGAGGCTTGTTGGCAAAGCAGGGTGCCTACAAGCACTTAGTGGAGCTAGGCTTGCCTGTCTGTGGAGCTAGAGCCTAGTGCCTTCTTGCTGAGGCTTATAAGTGCAGAGGTGGGTCTCTGGGCACTTAGCACCAAAGCTAAAAAGACTTTGTAAAACTTGCCCGAGTAGGGCAGAGGCCAGGAGTGAGGGCCAGAGAGAGGCCTGCCTATGGGCACAACTAAGAAGAGGCTATCTGGATCAAAGAACTATATCATGAGCATTCCTAAACCTGAATTGTAGCCTTTCACTTCCCTAATGAACCTCGTAACTTGGAGTATGCTCTGAATTCTGTGTGGCCATTGCAACAGATTACTCAACCCAGAAGAGAAGTAGAGAGTGCTGTGGGAGGGATGGCTTGTGTCAGAATTGGTAAAAAGGTTGGAGGGTGGTGGTATGCCTCATAGGAATCAGCCTTGGGCTATTTTATGTATTTATTTATTTTTAAATTGTGATTTGGGTGAAAATTTACAGAGCAAATTCACTTTCCATACAGCAGTTCACATACACTTTGTCTCATGACATTGACTGCAGTTTCCCACAATGCAACAGCTCCCCTCACACTTCCTCCCCGTAGTTACCTCTTCCCTGTGTCCATCCCTCCAAGCACTCCTGCCCCCTGAGCTGTCTCCCTGTGCATAAAAAGCCCTCTTTCTCCCATGATTGTTCTCTTCAAGGAGTGTATCCCCCTCAGGTAAATGTTCAACTCATACACCTGTCTTTTGTTTGGCTGAAAGCCACAGGTGTGTGTTCAATTCCAGACCTGAAGGGCAGCTAGGGATATAGTTACAGTGTTTCCAGCAGGCTCTATCAGACCAGCAAACTTGGTCCCTCTTTTTTTTTCTCAAATGATTTTGAGTTTTGTTCCACATTGTTCTCCCTCTCTATCCAGGATCTCCTACATAGATCCCCCTCCGAGTGGTTGACAGTGGTAGCCGGGCACTGTCTAGTTCTGGTCTCATAGTCGTATAAGCTGCGGATTGCATGGTGTACCAGTCGCTAGGACTAGTTGTTTCCATGAGTCTTTGGTTTTCTTCATTCTTCTAGCCTTAGGCTATTGATTTGATCCTCTTCCCACCTTGTGAAGTAGGAAGAGGTCCGATGCCTCCCCCACCATACCATCTTACAGTGACATGTTAAGGAACAGGGTTCAACTCAGGATCAGGAAGCATGTCGGCAGAGTCCCCTGTCCAGTACCGACCAGGTCTCTCAGCTTCTCTCAACCCCAGGTCGGGCATCTTCTCAGCCCCCGGGACAGGCTTCTCTCGGCCCTGCCGTCTGTCACAGCTGGCTCTGCCACTGGGCCCTTCTAGGCCTGTCACAGTCCTTAGTGTTACGGCTTTTGACCTGTGTAACAGCTCTTCTGGGATTTTCCTTGACTCCTCTTTCTATTTCTCTTTCTCCTGTCTGCTGCTTCCTGCTGCTTCTCTTCCTGCTGCTTCTTGTTGCAGAATCATCTGTATGGCTGGTTGCATGTACACACACACACACCCCTACACCTCCTTATCAATTTCAGTGCTTGGCCTCCTCCCAGCAGAGGACCACACTCTGACCAGTCTCCTCTCAGCAGGGCACAGACATTTCATTTGCACAGTCTATTGACCAATCTTTGCAAAGTACATACCAATCACAGGCCTACACAGGGCCAGACAAAAACTATCAAACAAGTTGTTTACAGCTTCCCCAGGAGACATATCAAAGCCTCTGGGGTAGAAAACTAGGGCAAAGGATTTAGGGGAAATATCTCTTAAGCTGTTTTCCCAGAGAACCCAGACAAAAGGCCATATAAAGGGACTCGTTTCACCACAGTATGTCAGATAGCTCTACAGAAAGGACATAGAGGCAGCATCCTCTGACTTCCAACTTCATCAGGAGGAAAGAGAATCACCACCAGCAGTCCAAGGCTGATGACTATGAGGTGGGAGTCAGCCATGCCACCACCACCTTCCAACCTCTTTACCAATTCTTACACCAACCATGCCTCCCACAGTACTCACTGCTTCTCTGGGTTCAGTAATTGGTTGCAGTGGCCACACAGAACTCATAGACAATACTCATGGCTATGGGGTTTATTAGGGAAGTAACAGGTTATAACTCAGGTTCAGGAATGCACTGAGGATAGTATTCTTTGATCAGGAGAGTCTCTCCTCTGCTATGCCCTCAGACACACCTCTCTGGCTCTTAGCCTCTCAGCCTGGACTCTGCCCTGCTCAGGCAAGTGTTCCACAGCTCTTTTAGCTCTGCTGACAGGTGCATTCCATTCTGCCAGCAAGCTTCTTGCCCAAGGGCACTCAGCTTTCTCACTCCATGTGCCAGGTAAGCCCATTGCTCTGTCTCATACCTCTTGATTCCACTGCCGCCATCTCTCTGCTGGGGTGTCTCCCTGCCAAGGTGTCTCTGCCAAGGAGGGCCAGTGCAGGGGTCTTGAGTCCAAGGACATGCTCCACTTCACCTCCACCTCGTCTCTCTTAATGGCAGTGAGATCCCTTCCCTGCCTCTGTTGTTGTTGTTATGTGCCGTTGAGTCAGACCTGACTCATAGTGATACCTCCTTGGGTTTTTGAGGCAGTATCATTATGGAATTAGATTACCCCATCTTCCTTCCATCCCTGCCTCTAGGAAGGCTCATTTTAAGCCTGCAAAGTGACAAAACTAAGCATTCTCAACATCGTTTTACACACCTTATTTGCATGGCTCCACCCAGTAATCTGGTGGGAGTTACAAAGACTGGCTAGAAAAGCCATTCCAAGTAATTCACTGCACCGCACCATGGTAGGGCACAAACACCTTATATTTGCATAGTTCTACCCAGTCATCTGGTGGGAGTCACAAAGACCACAGTTAGAAGAGTAACTCATTGCACCACAGCTCTCTAAGGGATCCTGTGGTTGGTGAGTCAAAGCTCTAACACGTATCTGACCAGACTGAATTTACCAAGAAATAAGGAAATATTCTAGGAATAAAGATGTTTATAGTCATGAATGAGACCTTAAGCGTTTGATCATGAGGCATTTTTGTTACAATTCAAGGCTGTGTGAAAGTAACTATAAAAATGAACAATAAAGAGATGGATTAGTTTAACATCTAGAGAGCATAGAGTTTATGATGTTATAGACAGGGAGGCATGATACCATGACAGACCAGAGACATAATCTTATTTTGAATAAGGAAATGGGTGACTCAGAAGGAAAGAAAATGTGAAATTGAAGAGGTAGAAGGCTGTGAGGAGGACTTTTGAAAAATTAGCCTGAAATTAGCTACATGAATGCCAGTGTTAGGTTGTATTTGTAAGAGGCCTGATGGAGTGGAAACTTTACCTTCTACAAATATATCTTGATGTCTTCCACCTTTCATGTCACCATTATCCACATTTCATAATCTGCAAATGTCTCCTTTATTTATCTCCTTGTTTGTTTATTCAATTTCTGCTGTCTAGAATTGAACCTCAGTGAAAATAAGGACTATTTTATATCCCAAACATGAGCACAATGCTTTGTATATGGTACCCATTGAAATGAATGCAGCTCTCATGATTTTGAATCAGCCACTGTGGTCTGATATTCATTCACTAGACTTCTTTTAGGAGCTTTGATAGCGTAGTGTCTAAGGCACTTGACTGCAAACCAGAAGGCTGGCGGTTCAAACCCACCAGCCACTCCTCGAAAGGAAGGTTGGGCAATCTACTTCCATAGTGATACTACCTCAGAAACCCAAGGAGGTGCTGTTATGAGTCATATCCAACTTGACGGCAAATAACAACAACAACAACAGACTGCTTTTACTTTTAATGTTTACATTAGTGTGCTTTTACCAATATCCCAGAGATAAAGAACGTGCACACATGGATTTTCCTTTATACTTATATTGTAGAGTTTTCATTAAAGAGCCCACTGACACCAAGGTATTTTTGAAGTAGATTTATTTCAGGCTAAGATTATGAAATAATTCATTGTCGTCTTCTTTTCTAGAAATTGGGAAAGTTGATCATCTACAGTATCACTTGAAAAATCAAAGAACCCCAAAGTCTGTGGACCAATGCCATGAATATAATGGATTTGGAAATATTTTCAGTCAGAGAAAAAGTAGGATTCCATTGGAGCAATTACATGATATGTGTGACTTTCATGGAAAAACTTTAAAATCAAATTCAAGAGTAGGAAACCGCAACAAAATCTGTGACCTGAAAACCGTTCCTGAGTTTAATGGAGATGGACAACCTTTTCTCCAAGATAAGTATGAAGAACTTTATACTGACGTGAAATTTCCTGAAAGTCCAAAATCCAACAGGAACAAGTCCGAGATCCTTAACCACCGCAGAACTGCCAAAATAGTGAATGCCCATGTATGCAGTGAATGTGGCAGAGCCTTCATCAAGAAGTCTCAGTTCATTGATCATCAGATGATTCATACAGGAGAGAAACCTCATGGATGCAGTGTGTGTGGGAAAGCCTTCTCCAGAAAGTACAGGCTGACTGAACATCAGAGAGCCCATGCTGGCCTGAAATATTATGAGTGTACGGAATGTGACAAAACTTTCCTCAAGAAATCACAACTCAACATACATCAGAAAACTCATATGGTAGAGAAACCATATAGATGCAGTGAATGCGGGAGAGCCTTCAGCAAGAAGTGTTTGCTCATCTACCATCAGCGAACTCATACAGGAGAGAAACCCCATGGGTGCAATCTGTGTGGGAAATCCTTCTGTACCAAGTCTAGTCTTACAACTCACCAGAAAACTCATACAGCAGAGAAGCCATATGTATGCAGTGAATGTGGAAAAGGCTACATGGAGAAGAGGCGTCTTATTGCACATCACCTAACTCATACTGGAGAGAAACCCTTTATATGCAATGACTGTGGGAAACGATTCGCTTTGAAGAACAGTCTCATCACTCATCAGCAAACTCACTCCAAAGAGAAATCATATACATGCAGTGAATGTGGCAAAGGTTTTTCCATGAAACACTGTCTTATAAGACATCAACGAACTCATACTGGAGAGAAGCCTTATATATGCAGTGAATGTGGAAAAGGCTTCCCCCTGAAGAGCCCTCTCATCAGACATCAGCGAACACATACAGGAGAGAAACCCTATGTATGCAGTGAATGTGGAAAAGGCTTCACCATGAAGATTGATCTCATCATACATCAGCGTATTCATAATGCAGAGAAACCATATATTTGCAGTGATTGTGGAAAAGGCTTTACTGTGAAGAGCCGTCTCATTGAACATCAGCGAACTCATACAGGCGAGAAACCTTATTTATGCAGTGAATGTGGAAAGGGCTTCTCAGCAAAGATTCGTCTGATTGGACATCAGAGAACTCATACAGGAGAGAAGCCGTATATATGCAGTGAATGTGGGAAAGGCTTCACTGAGAGGAGCCACCTCAATGTACATCGGCGCACTCATACTGGAGAGAAACCCTACATATGCAACGTGTGTGGGAAAGCTTTAAGTGGGAAAAGCGTGCTTATCGCACATCAGCGAACGCATACTGGAGAGAAACCCTACATATGCAATGAATGTGGGAAAGGTTTTGCTAGGAAGAGTAATCTTGTTGATCATCAGCGATCTCATACAGGAGAAAAATCTTATATATGCAGTGACTGTGGAAAAAGCTTCACTGTGAAGCGCACTCTCATTATACATCAGCAAACTCATACCACAGAGAAATCATATATATACAATCAATTTGAAAAGGCTTCAAAACAAAACGCACTCTCGTTATACATAAGCGAACTTATACTGAAGAGAAATTCTATGTGATCGTTAATTCTGTTTGTCAATCTGACTAGGCTATGTTTCCCAGTTGTTTGGTCAAACACTAGTTTAGTTGCTGCCATAAAATAGCTACCCAAAAAAAAGAACAAAAACTAGTCATCAGTCATTTGAGGTTGTATCAGTGTATGGTGAATCTTAAGCCTAATGACTTCTGAGGTATAAGAAGCCCAGAATAGACACAGGGACGCACACATATACATACTGTGTTATATATATGGCCCTTCTAGCCATAGTCCTCTATTTTGTTAGGTGTTTTCAATCTTAGCCTCTGTGCCTGTGGTTATGGTCCCATTTGGGAGTGAGTTGTCTGTTAATGACAAAGGATTAGGGTGAGATGTATCTTGATATACCACATTATTAGAGCGTGTGACTCAACTTCCCCCCTACACACCTTTGTACTTTTTTGTTCAAGTAAGGAGAATTCCCTCGAGGGTGTGGTCTGCATCAAATATATATCTGAGTACTCTGGCAAAGTTCTTGCTCTGGATCCTGCCTCTGATTACTCATCACCTGACCTCTAGTTCTGGGACTTGAGAGAGAGTCTCAATTTGTGGTCTGACTTGCCAGTTTAGGTTTGTCAGCCCCTGGAACCATGTGAGTGAGGAGAATCCTACAGATTAACTCCTGACACAAGAATTTGGGACATGTCAGTCTCCACAGCCTCATGATCCATTTCCTTGGCAGTTCATGAGTCCTGTGAGATGTTGCACTGAAGTATGGAACCCAAAGTTGGGAGGGAAAGTACCAAGAGAGGAGGAAAAGTTGATGTTCGAGGTGATAGTGTAGTACAGCAGTTTGGAAGGGTTGTACATTTGCCCTGTTTTTCACCTAAGACCCATAGGTACCAGCTCTGTGCTGCTCTTTTTGAAAGAAATTATCCATGCACATACACAGGGAAAGACAGCATGTGAGGATCATCTGCAAGCAAAAGCACCCCAGGAATCATTGGCAGCCACCACAAACTAGGAGGAAAGGCTCACAGGTGGGATCAACATGGCTGAGAGCCTGACTTTAGCCTCCAGAAGTGTGAGAAAACTTCCTGTTCTTCAAAGCCAAGCACCTGTGCTATTTCTGTTAAGGCAGCACTATGAAACCCAGTGGCACTCTAGGAATGCAGTGTGTGCACCCAGAAGACATGAGAGATGTTACATAGGAAAGACTCCATCTGTATGTTCTGAGTGTGGAAAATTCTGTTCACACAAATAAGGTTTCATTGCCCATCAGAGAGTTTACACTAGAAGATAAACCATAGGAGTCCATGAATGTGGGAAAGCCTTCACCACAAAGTCATTGCTCAGTGTCCATCAAAGAACTCATATAGGAGAGACCATAGGATGCGACGACTGAAGAAGGCTTTCTCCCTTTGTCAAACCTTGTTAAACATAAGAGAATGCACACATGAGAAATGTGCAGACCCAGTCAAGTTTGAAGTTCATTTAACAGTCAAAGCTCATTACAAACAAATGAACTTATGCAGAAGAAAAACCGTGTTTATACGGTAACTTAAAATGTGTCTCTGCAACTCAGGCCTCTTTATACATATTTCAGTTTCTAACAGATTGCAATGTAATCACTATGGGACTGCCTCTTGTGAGATGTGCACCCTCAAGGGATTAAAGAAGTTGCCCAGAATAGAAACCTTTTGAATGCAGTGCCTTTAATAATCATTACCTCCAGTTGTCAGTTAGTGAACGGCATGCAGGAAGATAAAAACTCATCCATTTAATGTGGAAATGCATTGAGCAAAAATGTGTAATACATATTTATACTGAGATACTAATAAAACAATGATTTCTGTTGATTCAGTTCCCACTGATAGCAGTCCCAGAGGACAGTAGAACTTCCCTCATAGGGTTTCCAAGGCTGTAGTCTTTACAGAAGCAGATCACCACATCTTTTTCCCTGTGGAATGGGTGTTGGCTTTGAACTATTGACATTTCGGTTAGTAGCCAAGCACTTAGCCAGTGTATCATCAGGGCTCCTCAGACTGAGATAATTCCTGTAAGTGCAGAGACTAGTAACTCTAATGATCTGATAATTACTAAGTTTCTAGCTGATACCAAAATAACAGCCAGTGGAAAGCCTTTACCCAGAAATAAAATCTCAGTAAGTGTCAGTTCACTCTAGAGAAAAGCTTGAAGATAACAGTGAATAGGGCACTGTTTTGGTGATACATCTTTTGTCACATCATTTGTCATGAAACCATATAGAAAATAAAACTTTGAACATGCTAAATATGAAGCACCTTTAAGCACAGTATTAGAGAACTCATGAAGGAATGAAGTCAAGTGAAAATTACATTTGTGTGCTTTTTGTTAAGAATCATGTCAGAAAATACACCTGATGTCCATTTTCAGGCTGGATACTTTGAAATGTAGTCCTTGATGCCTTGTTCATGGTTCCATCATTTTGAAAAAGCAGCCCAGTCCTCACCACTAATTTTTATTCTTAATTAAAACACAAGAGTGTTCTGTGACTATCCCATCTTATTTGATTTGTTCTTAAAATTTTTAGCTCTAAATTTGTGAATGTAGCATATGACATAATATTTTAAATTTATAAATGTAATGACATATTTGGAAATGCTTAACTGAGTTTATTATGTGATCTAAGTTTACAAACCACCTTTGAAGTTGTTTTTATAATGATACATAATCTGAAATAATTTTAAGCTCACACAAACTAGCAAATATAGTCCAGAGGCTTTCTTAGTATCCTTGACTCAACTTAAACAGAAAACATCTTACATAACAATGTGTCATTATCAAAACCAGGAAAATGGCACAGATACAATGTTGTTGTTATTATGTGCCGTCGAGTTGGCCCCGACTCATAGTGACCTCTCCTTGGGTTTCTGAGGCAGTATCACTACTGAAGTAGGATTGCCCAACCGTCCTTCCAAGGAGTGGCTGGTGGGTTTGAACCGCCAGCCTTCTGGTTAGGAGTCAAGTGCCTTAGGCACTATGCTACCAGAGCTCCTACAGATACAATACTGTTCATTAAATTCCTAACCTTATTTGTACTTGTGATTTTTGTATGAATTTTTTGTTTGGTTTAATTCTAAGCTGTTTAATTACATGTATAGATTTATGTTACCACAATCAGGAGATGACGTTATTTCATCAACACAAACTCCCCTGTGCTACCTTTTGTACTCACTCACTCTACAAGCCTAACTTTGGCAACCATTAATCTGTTCTCCAGCAGTGTGGAATAATATACAGTGACAAAAAAGGACAACTGATGGATACATGTCACAACTAGGATAAATTTCAAAATATGCTGTGTGAAAGAAAAAAGACAGTATATACCATACAATTCCATTCAAACAACATAAATTATAGCAAAAGAGATCAGTTTACTGGTTGCTAGGAACTGAGTAGAGATTGCAATGGGGAATTACTAGTTAATGGGTATGGGTTTCCTTTGCATATGATGAAATATTTTCGAACTAGATAGAGATGATGACTGCATAATACTGTGTATGTAATAAATTGCACTGAGTTGTGTACTTTAAAATGATTATATTTTGAAAATTTTACTTCATTAAAAAAATGTATCCAGGATAGTTCTATTTCCTTCCTGACCATTTCTGCTAATGTCATTTTATATTTATAATGAAAGTATAAAAATGTTACAATTATTGTTTTGAAAAACCTTTTTTTTTTTTTTTTTTACAGAAGTTAAGATAGTAGAAAAGGAAAGGATTATTTATACAGTCTCTTCTACTTACATATTGCCAATTTCCAGAGTCATCCATTACTTACTATTGGAGTTACCATCTGAGTTGAATTCCTTTCATCACTCAAACTTTTCTAATATCATAATTTTGCCTTTATTTTGTAAAAATTTTGCTGGATGTAAAATTCTTTGTTGAAAGCCCCCCACACACACACTTTAGCCACTTGACTGTATCATTCCATTTCTTTTTTTCCACTTTTTTCTGATCTAAACTTTCTGATAATGCTTTTCATCTGTAAGTAATGAGTTGTCTTTTTTTTTTTTTCCCCAAGATATTTTCTTTCTTTGGCTTTGATAATTTGATGTAGCCCCTCTTTATGCTTATCCTATTAGGATTTTGTTGAAAATTTCCAGTCTGCTATTAATTTATTTCATCATATTTGGGAAGTTGGTGGACATTATTTCTTCAGATAATTTTTCTTCACCCTCTTAGCTGTTCCCCTATGATTCCTATTACAAATATGTTAGTATGTTTGATGTCTCACAAGTCACTGAGACTTTGTTCATATTTCTTCAATATTTTTGGTTCTATACAGTAGCTAATTCTTTTGATCACTCTTCAAGTTCACTGATTATTCTCAATCTCAGATCTATTGTTGAGTCCATGTCAGTTTTTTTTTTTATTTGATTGTACTTTTAAGCACCAACATATCTATTGAGTTCTATTTTTCTAATTTAATACTGAGATTCTCTGTTTATTCAGTCATTGTCACCATATTTTCAACATAATTTTCTCTAAGTCTGTGAATGCATTTAACATACAGGCTTTTGAATTTTGCTACCTCCGTCATAAGGACCCACTGAGAGTCAGTATTACTGAGTGATTTGTTTACTGAGTATGGATTACACTTCCCTGTTTTATTGTATGTTTCCTATTTTCTCTTGAAACAGTGACATTTGTCATCAAGTATACAGAAGCACATTATATGGCTGGGCAGAGACAAGTCTCCAAGAAGGAACTAAATTCAGGAGCTCACAGGATAGAGTGGAACTCATACGAGAAAGCAGGTAGCTATCATATACATT